TCTATCTATCTATCTATCTATCTATCTATCTATCTATCTATCTATCTATCTATCTATCATCTATCTATCTATCTATCTATCTGGATTGGAGTCAATTCTAGCATTGTGCATTTCTTCTAGGCCTTCACATATCCACTTTAATTTTAGTACATTTGATACAATTATACTTGGTTAATCAATCATAAAAGATTTATTTGCTTTTACACTGAAGGTATCAGAACTGGAGTTTCCTAAAGGACTACGATCCCCTGGTAAGTCAAAAACCAAACATGCTTGTTAAAAAGTTTAGCTGCCATGTTTCAAACAGATTTTCATATTTTGAAAAAAGGCTTTCCTCACCCTGAGTTAGCATAGTCATAGCTCAGAATGGTCAAGGATGAACAGGTGATGATGCTTTACACCGGGAGGGTCCGTATATCATGTTAAGCAATAGTTTATTTTCATCATGAAGTACAGAACAAGCTGGAATGGCTTGATTCACAAATAGCAGCAAGCCCTAAACTGGGGGATTGGCAACCCATCCCAGTCTGGGCCCCTTGCTCCCATTTTTTCTGTTTCCAGATTGCGCTTGGAAATTCAGTAGAAAAAAATCACTGTGGTTTTGGTAGCACAATTTTCCATGGGTTTTCTGCAAAAATACAAGATGCAATAGATGCATAATGTACTTCTATTACCTATTCAATGCTCCACCCATCCATCCCCCCAAAGCTACATAAAATGGCAAATATTTTGGACTGCTCCTTTCATGTTGTCACCCACTGCAGCCCTTATGGCCCTTGAGGACTAAAATGTTTTTTACGTGGCCGCTATAATCACAAGAAGTCTATCTGTGCTGGCTGTACAGCTACAAACTAGAATCGTTGTCTTCGCTCGTTGCAATAAGCTAACATGGTGGCAGAGACCACCTTTTTGCACTCAGGGATTGCACTGTTTTGCTTTGTATTCTGCAATCTTGGAGTCCAAAGCAGCAGAAAAAGCAAACTGGGGATTACATTCTTAGCATATGTGAAGCTGCCCACGGTAATGTCAGTACTGCTGATCTGGATTTGCACTACCTCAGAAATTGTTTGATTTTGGTTTAGCATGATAGATAATGAAAAAAAAATCATTGATTTGTTTTTGAATCATTTAAAGATCAGTTTAAAACTATGTTTTGTTGTAATTGTGGTTTTCGGGTACTAGGGGATGCATGGTGTCCTGGCTTATCCTTCCTAAACTTTTAGTTAATCCAAGGATGTGCAGGACAAGAAAGGGAGGAAAAACAAATCAGAAATTGGCTAAATGACCCATGGTTACTTTGTTTATCCGCAAGATTGACTCCAGCTTATTAAAACAAACCATGGCTTAGTGTACGCGTGAATGCACTTGCTGACTAACAGCAAGCAATCTTGGGATAATGTTGACTCTACCCCTTGCGACTCTTAAACAGAAAAGGCAAGGAGCGAATGTGGGCTTGTCTTCATCTAAGCATTTTCTCTGCTACAGAGCCTTGGCCCTTCCATGTCAATGCAGATGCTGCAGATGTTAGGGCTGCTGGTTCTTGTGCACAAGTAAAGGCGGCAAGGAATGTGGCAGAGAGGTGATCTGGAGAACCCACATCCACAGGGGTCATTTCAGCTGGTGCAGGGAGATGTCCCAGTTCAGTATTCCACAGATTAGTGTAATTGTGTTGACCACTGAGGGGTCAGGCAGACAATCAAAGCTGCCTCTCTGAGCTGAGGCTAATGGCACATCTCCTCAATTGCACAGTTCTGCCCTGAATGCGGGCTTTCCCTTCACCACAAGTTGCTAGCAGAGGAAGTCTGATCCAGATTGGGATCCTAGCACGGGAGGGGAAGCTGATGTTCTTGCCTCGTGAAGGCTCTTGTCCTTCTCCAAGTCGGGAGGG